GAAGACTGGGTATGATTGATGAAAATAATCTCTGAGATTGAGAATATGACAATAGAAATTTCCAAAACTGAAAGGCAAAGAGAAAAAGAAAGACTGAAAAATGAGGAACAGTATATCCAAGAACTGTCGGCCAACGACAAAAAGTGTCGCTGAGAGAACCCTAACACATAATTGGAATACCAGAAGAGGAAGACAGGAAGAGATAAATGGAAGCAATATTTGAAGTAAATATGAATTTCCCAAAATTAATGTCAACAACCACACATTCAGAAATCTCAGAGAACACCAAATGAGATGAATGTAAAACAAACAACCTACAACTAGTCATATCATATTCATGAAAAATAAAACAAAATTTTGAAAGAAGACAGCAGAGGGAAAAAAAATGGGGAAAAAAAAGAAATGGGGAAAGGATTCCCTATTTTATAAATGGTGCTGGGAAAACTGGCTAGCCATAAGTAGAAAGCTGAAACTGGATCCCTTCCTTACTCCTTATACAAAAATTAATTCAAGATGGATTAGAGACTTAAATGTTAGACCTAAAACCATAAAAAACCTAGAAGAAAACCTAGGCAATACCATTCAGGACACAGGCATGGGCAAGGACTTCATGTCTAAAACACCAAAAGCAATGGCAACAAAAGCCAAAATTGGCAAATGGGATCTAATTGAACTAAAGAGCTTCTGCACAGCAAAAGAAACTACCATCAGAGTGAACAGGCAACCTACAGAATGGGAGAACATTTTTGCAATCTACTCATCTGACAAAGGGCTAATATCCAGAACCTACAAGGAACTCAAACAAATTTACAAGAAAAAAAACAAACAACCCCATCAAAAAGTGGGCAAAGGATATGGACAGACACTTCTCAAAAGAAGACATTTATGCAGCCAACAGACACATGAAAAAATGCTCATCATCACTGTTCATCAGAGAAATGCAAATCAAAACCACAATGAGATACCATCTCACCAGTTAGAATGGCAATCATTAAAAAATCAGGAAACAACAGGTGCTGGAGAGGATGTGGAGAAACAGGAACAGTTTTACACTGTTGGTGGGATTGTAAACTAGTTCAACCATTGTGGAAGACAGTGTGGCGATTCCTCAAGGATCTAGAACTAGAAATACCATTTGGCCCAGTCATCCTATTACTGGGTATGTACCCAAAGGATTATAAATCATGCTGCTATAATGACACATGCACATGTATGTGTATTGCAGCACTATTCACAATAGCAAAGACATGGAACCAGCCCAAATGTCCATCAATGACAGACTGGATTAAGAAAATGTGGCATATATATACCATGGAATACTATGCAGCCATAAAAAAGGATGAGTTAATGTCCTTTGTAGGCACATGGATGCAGCTGGAAACCATCATTCTCAGCAAACTATCACAAGAACAGAAAACCAAACACTGCATGTTCTCACTTATAGGTGGGAATTGAACAATGAGATCACTTAGACACAGGAAGGGGAACATCACACACTGGGGCCTGTTGTGGGGTGGGAGGAGGGAGCAGGGATAGCATTAGGAGATATACCTAATGTAAATGATGAGTTAATGGGTGCAACACACCAACATGGTACATGTATACATATGTAACAAACCTGTATGTTGTGCACATAGAACTTAAAGTATAATAATAATAAAAAAAACCTTGTCTGACAAGGGACAATGATAAAAATTATATCTTACTTATCCTACCAAGCCATGCAAACAAAATTAGATTTGAGAGAATTAATTAAACCATAGAGAAAAAGAAGAACAACAACAATAAAAATAAAATCCACAAGACTAAAATTTTGTCTGGAAAACAATCCATCAAAAGAAAGGAGAAATGAAGACTTTCTCATAAAAACAAAAAAAAATGAGGGAATCTGTTACTGGTAAATGTGTCTTGCTAGAAATGTTTAAATGAATTTTTCAGAGAGAAGGAAAATGACATAGGTCAGAAAATAAGATCTATATAAAGAAAGGAAGGGCATTAGAGAATGAATGCCTGAAGGTAAAATAAAATCTCATATATTTTTCTTATTCTTAGTTTACCTACCAGATCATGGTTTATTCAAATTATAGTAGAAACAATGCATTCAATGATGTATGTGTATATAAGCTTATGTACATATATATTTTCTTATGTAAAAATGAAATTAATTATACCAATGAATCATTTATATAAGGGATTAGAGAAAGGAAATGAGAATATTTTATTATAATGTAATTACACTGACCTTGAACTGATAGACAGTAGTCTCCCTTTATCTCTGTTTTCAATTTCTGTGGTATTAGTTACCTGCTGTCATCCACTGCCTAGAAATATTAAAAGGAGAATTTCAAAAATAAACAATTCATTAGTTTTTAATTGCATTCTGTTCTGAGTAGTATGATGAAATCTTGCACCATTCTACTCCTTGCTGCTCTGGATGTGAATTATCCCTCCATCAAGCACATCCATGCTGTCCGGGGCACCTGCCAGACCCTGATTTCCCTTAGATTCTGTCTCAGTTATTGCACCGACTGCTGCACATAGTTCATATAGGGTTTGCTACTATCTGTGATTTCAGGCAATACCTATAGGTCTTGAAATATATCAATCCCTGCGAATAAGGTGGGACTATTGTAGTATTACTTGGAAGTGGACTTGGATTGGTTGAAAATATCCAAGCTGTGGTGCAAAAACTAAAATATATATATATATATATATATATATATATTTGATATGCCAAGAAAGGAGGGAAAATAAAAGGATACAGAATGCCCAATTAAAACCACAAAAAGCAAAAACAGTATAGAAAGAAAAATAGAAATAAAAACAAGATCGACAAATAGAAAACAGTAACAAATACATTAATCCAACTATATCAGTAATCACTTTAAACATTAATTGTTTAGATATTCCAATTAAAACAGAGATTGTTAGAATAAGGCAAAACATAAAACTCAAATCTATATTGTCTACAAAATAGCCACTTTAAATATAAAGACATGTAGATTAAAAGTAAATAGAGGGAGAAAGGAAAACTATGGTGACACTGATCAAAAGAAAATGGAAGTAGCTGAATTAATTTTATACATAGCAAACTTCAGAGCAAGAAACGTTATCAGTGATAAAGATGAGCATCATATAATAATAAAGGGGTTAATAGTTCAAGAAGACATAAAAAATCTTAGTGTATATGTGCCTAATAATAAAAGATCAAAATCTTAAGGCAAACATGTATAAAACTTCAAAGAAAAATAGATAAATCAACTATTATAGTTGAGGACTTTAATACCTCTCTATTAGAAATGGACAGATCCACTGGGCAGTAAATCAGTAAGGACACATTTGAACTCAACAGTCCTATTAATCAGTGGGATAGTATTGACATCTATAGATAGACTACTTCATCCAACAACAGCAGAATACACATTCTTCTTAAGCTTACATGAACTAGTCACTAAAATACACCACTTTCTGGGCCATAAAACACATCTTATTAAATGTTTAAAACAATAGAAATCACATGGTGTCTGCTCTCCGACCACAATGGAATTAAACTAGAAATCAGTAGTAGAAAGGTAGCTGGAAAACCCCAAATTGTGTTCCCTGGTGTTCTTACAAATGAATTCAAAACATAGGTTCACATAAAACTTATACAAGAATTTTTGTAGCAGCTTTATTCGTGACGGGCCAAAGTTGAAAGAAACCAACATAACCTTCAGTAGGTAAATGGATAAATAAACTTTGGCACATACAGACAACACAATATTATTGAACCCTTAATAAAGGGGCGGGGAAAGAAAAATAGGGCTAGCAAACCATGAAAAAGCATGGAGGAAACTTAAACGCCTGCTACCACTTGAAAGAAGCAATATGAAAAGGCTAATACTGTAGGATTCCAATATGTGACATTCTGGAAAAGGCAAAACTATGAGGTAGTAGAAAGATCAGTGGTTGGCAAGGGGTTAGGAGAGAAGTAGGGATGAATGCACAGAAGACAGGAAATTCTTAAGTCAAGGAAAATATTCTTTAGGATACTATAATGGTAGATGTATGAAATTATAAAGTTGTCCAAAGCCAAAGAATATACAACACCAAGAGTGAACCTTAAATGTAAACTATGGACTTGTGTGATAATATGCCAATGTAGGTTCATTTATTGTAATAAGTGTACCACTGTGGTATAGGATGTGGATGGTAGAGGAGGTAATGTGTGTGGGGGAGGACAGGAGGTATAAGGGAACTCTTTGTATTTTCTGTTCAATTTTGCTGTGAACCTAATATTGTTCTAACAATAAAGTTTACTCATTAATCATACAACAAAAATATTATTTTGTTTGTCTGTTTTGTTTTTTTCAGACCAAATGGTAAATCCAGTTTGCTCTATCTGATGGAACTTTACCAGCTACTTTTGAAATTATGTAAAATCTAATCTGGTACCAGCATCAAATAAATCAGATACATCAAAACACTCCTACAACAATTAAGGAAGATGTGGTTACGTCCCTTGAAGAGCTAAGAGCTACTAACTAGAGCTAAGTTTTCTATGTGCAAAAGCAAAAAAGGACACGATACTTTATTTACATTGATTTTATTTTTAACTTAAATTTACATGGATGTTTATTTTTAACTAGTGAAGTATGACTTCAATTTCTCAAATAATTAAATATCTCTGTGTTCCTATAAATAAAACAAGGTTTCTTTTTGCAAGTTTTAATATATTGTGGAAAAATAATTCTTAGATCAGAAACATTATTGACACAGACCAATGTTTGTCATGGTCTGCTCTTCTCCCTGACCCCAGTAAATTTATAAATACTTGTTACATGTGAGATTTTAAGGTAAACTCATTATGTGTGTATTTGCATTCATGAGTCTATGGGCATGTACTTGCTTATATTCTCATAGAAATTTCTTTTCTTTTTCATTCTAGTTGGTGACAAATATAGTCAATACTACCTGTGTGAAAAAGAAAAAAAAAAGTACCTAATTTGGATTGACAAGGAAACTCACCGGAAATTCTGTTCTTAAAATGATGAAGTTTATTCTAGTTTACGGAGTATTTAAAAGCAAGCTATGCTGAGAGGAACAATACTTGGAGAGAAATACTGGATGGATGCACAGTTTGAGGTACTCAAAAATTTATCAATAGCTAAAACCAGGTCATTTGAGAGTCGTGCTCTCATTATACCTTATACTGACTGATGACTTTTAATGGATTTGATGCTGAGTTGAGATACTGATTCTTATTGTGAGCTATTATAGATATGCTTACATGAAACTCCATATTGCTTACTATAAAGTTGTTATTTAAAATATTTTACATTAATTGCATAGTGTCCTACTTATGAGAGTTCAGAAAAAAAATCCTTCTTGGGTCCTAATGTCCAAGAGAACTGGCCACTGGTTTGTTTTTATAGATAATATTAATCTTTTTATTGATCAACATCATCTCTCCACTCAGGCTGGTAAAAATCTGAAAGAAAAAACTGCAGCTCAACAGCAACAAAAAAGCAGAGATATTTTATAATGTTGGCTTTACCATAAAAGTTTGTTTTAAAGAATTTACCTTATATCTTGAATATATAAATAAAGGTATTTTCCAGATCCACTTTCTCAGGACAAAATCATTCAGTCTCACAAACTTCTGGGTTATTGATGACTGAAATATATTGCTTAAATCACTCTCTAGAAATTTCCAGTGGTCAAGGAGAGTCACTTTACCCCAAGCCTATACCTCCTTCAAAGGCAACCCATATGAAATGATTATTCAATGCGAGAATATAAAGGCTTGAATAGCATCTCTTCATTTTGGATACTTTGAAAAGTTTCTCCAGCTTTTGAGCTCCTTATGGGTTTAGACAAAGCATTTCTTTTAGCATTTCAACAAGAATACAGCTTTTCCCTCTACAGTCCTCTTTCCTTCACCTCACCACAGATGTTGATGCTAAAGCCATTCACCAATAAAATTTCTCCATACAAATATTTTTGTCTTAGAACCTGTTTTCTCATACCTGACATTTGCATAGGGTTTGAGGAGCAGTGTCTAAAATGAAATGTTGACGATGGCTCCTTGGCTGGCAGGCTGACACTCTGAACCCCAATCCTTGCTAGAAGGTGGAAGGAGTACCGTCAACCTCTGTCATGTGGGAGCAGCAAACCCATCAAAACATTCACCAGGTCACGTTCAGATGGGTTGCCAGTAGAAGGAAATACAGTGGTAAGTGCAATAATTCAGGTGTTGTAGAAGTAGAAGGAAAACAGTAATTAAGAATGAATAAATTTGACGAAAATTTCTGGAAGTAGCCAATTAATTGGTGATGAACAATGAAAGAGTATTGGTGAAAATTCAACAAATAAACATTAAGTGTAAATTCCAGAGGACTCCTTTGGTTTCATACAAAGACACTCTTCTTTCCTGCAGCCAGAGTCTCATGAAAGTTGAGAATCAGGTATAAAACTTAATGACAGGATAAGTAGAGCTCCAGAGAAGGCTGAATTCTCAATCCCAGCAGGTTTGCTAGGCCAAAGTCAGAACCCTGATAAGGAAGAACTGAGATTCTGAGACTGAGAAGGGGATACACAAATCCGTGCAATCAATGCACCCAAAGATCTTAAAATCCCCAGACTTCACAGAACCCTCTGGGTCTATGGAGGTCATCTAGCTGTAAATCTTGAAGGCCCTACTTCTTGGCTTCGCTTTTTGATTATGAAGCACCTTCTGCCACACAGAGTGACATATATTTCCTTAGGATCTACCACTGCTACCCGCCCAGGTCACAAAACAACTAACTAAGCTTAAGTCTCAACATAACTGAGGCAGAAATGCACTGTTTCTTCAGGACCGCCCCGCCCCCGCCACCAAAAACATATACTGAACGAGATTGTAAAAAATGATTGGGTACCAGATCCTGAGGGTTCCAGTTAAAACAGAAATCATTATCAAGATGGGAAAACTTTTCCATGATACAGGGTTGGACATGCTGGCAAAGGCACTGGAAGGTGGTACTAACAGGCTCCTAGGATGAGTCCTGTTAGCTTACAGAAAAGGACTGCCAGAACTGCTGTGACAGAAAATAAAAGACAAAAAAGACTCAGAGAAGTACACATGCTAGACAGTACATACTACATAAAGGAGGGGATCCAATCAGATTCCTGAATTAAGGTCCTAGAAGACACTTTACCTTTGTGATCAGCAACAGACTGAAGTGTCAGTATCATTGAAAAACTTAGAGGTAGACTCTTTTGAGGCCAAGGATGAAAAATAGAAGCTGCTATCAGAAAACTTTCATGACCTATTCCAATAGAACAAGAGAATCTACAAAAACAGATATAGAGACTAGATGTATTTACTTAACTAATAGGCAGAAGCTGGGTTTCAAAATTATCATAATGTATACCGTGGCCCTCAAGGTAGCCAGAAGAACCAAATTCACAGTGTGTTATCTATATGTTTAACAGAGCATAGCTTCTCTAGGGGCAAGATGATAGATGGACATACAAAAAGAGTGTAGCTTAACTTATACAATCGAAAAAAATGAAGTTCGGAAGACAAGAAACTGAAGGCTATCATTCCAATGGAAAGTAATAAACCCTTTTCCAATTTTCAAAGGAGAGGTCAGACTTCCAGAAAGAAAAAAAAAAAAAAAGAAAAAAAAAAAAAAAAACCTGCAATATTTCCTTCTCCTCCTCTTTCTCCTCATTTGCTTTCTCTTCTTTCTTGTCTTCCACTTCTCCCTCTTCTTTTCCTCTTCTTTTCCCTGCTGTCAATATTATTACTCTTTTAACTCTGTTCACCTGACATGTCTCAGGTATGATACTTTTCTTGTCCTTGCTTCTATATAGCTACTTCTCAGCAACTCTCACCTGAACTTTTTATACCTTATCCTCAAACATTTATATTGTTTCCATCTGACAGTTCTGCTTTCTCTGTCCTCAGTAATTTTTCCTCTACTCCAACCTACTGATCATAATGTACTTAGCCTCAGTCTGCTTTCCATCAGCTTTTCTTTCCAAACCTCTCAATCCAAATGATATGATCAAAGTCCCTTCCATTTTCTCTCAAAGCCTCAGTCTCCAGGCTCTTTTCTATCCATCAGTTTCCTCCTGTTTATTCCCTATGACCCTGCCTTTGATCCTAGTGTCTTGTTTATTGCTTCTGGCCTTTGCATCCTAGTCATTTAGGCTTTATGGATTCTTGCCCCGCCACATCATTACCACACCACTGCACCTTTTCCTGAAAACCTTGTTTGCTCTGTTCTATGTATTTCTCTTTCATTCATCAGACTCAGCTTTCCAAGAAGAGGACTTGGACTAATATTAAAATGCTATCCCTGTGTTTCAGTGGTGGAATTCCAGTGAAGTAAAGATGAATTTGTAAAGGGAACCAAGGCAAGGCAAGATGCAAATGTGATGGTATAGGATGCATCATCACACCGGCCAGCTCTGACACAGGCATGAAGTAGGCATTTTTGCTCAGCATCTGGGATACTGCCTGAAAGAGTTGCATGAAACAGTATCATCTTAGAGTAATCCAAATATGGTAGAAACAAATATGATTCAATCTGGTAAGCTTCATTTTATTTCCTGTTTTCTATTGCTCAATATGTCATGCCAACGGATACTAAAATTTGTACTCCTCTAGGTTATAGCCTCTAACAACTCAACAGCCTATCAGGGGGCCAAATCCCATGCCCTGATGCTTTTATAATGAGTGTAGGTGCTGTGTGAGTGTAGAGTCCTGACAGAGAGAGGAAAGAGGGAGAAAAGGATAGGGAGAGGAAAGAAAGACAGGAGTTGTATGAGAAAATCTGAAATGATGCTTGAGACATAGGTCCAATATACATATCAAAATTTCCCATGCTTCTCTCTAGATGCTTCTTTACATATGACTGATTTGTGCAACAATAGAAGAAATGCATAATGGATAAAAATTGTGAAAATAAAGTCCTGGAATTCCTCATATTTTAGAAGTGTCATTGAATCTACTTTTATAAATAAGTATAGCTGAATAAAATTAGTCTTAGCACGCATGCACACACACAAACTCATACACTTGTATAGAAACAAAATTAAAAGTACAAAGAAGAAAGAATAAAGTGGTTATTTCAATACATACTTGTGCCCATAAACTCTCACAAAAAGTAAACATCTGACTCTTGGCAAAATGTTCACATAAACATAATATAGTTTGATTACATTTAAAAGATAACCAACTAGTGTTAAAATTACCACTAAAGAAATTTTTCTCTGACACCTAACAACTTAGGAAAACAAAATGCTCTGTGTATTATAAGATAATTTTACAGTATTATGGATATACAAGCTTAAGTTTTGACATGGATGTAGGAAGTATTGTAGGATTATCTAGGAGGGTACTACAGCCTGCTAGAAAAATGACTGATTGAAAACCCTGATGAAGTTAGAAAAGTGAGTAAAAGTAAGAATAGTATGCAGTAGGAATACATATTTAAGTCCAAGGATAGGTTCTTGAGAAGTTCTGGGAGTCTGCAAAGTTGTTTTTTTATTATTTTTCTTTCTCATTCCCCTGCAGAAATAAACCAGTGGTAGTAGAGTTTGAAGTCTGGCATTAAATTGGGATTCTAGCAACCATGGTCAGCTACTACTGTAAGAAAATATTTCTTTCTTTTCTTTAATCCTACCAGTAAGGTGAGGCCATCAGTTTAGGAGACGGAAAAAGGAGTAGCCCACACATATTTAGCATTTTATCTTCACAATCATTCAAAGATGGACATAGCATGTCAATATATCCTCTGAATATGTCATAAGTGATTTGTATTTAGTCAACATTTTTATTCACATACATGTATTTTTCTATGAAATAATACAATGTAAACAAAAGGCAAGTTATCTAGAAATATAAAGGAACTAAAAGAGCTCTGAAACATATGTTTCTCCTCCTGTCCTCCCTATCTGATATTAATAATACCAACTTGTATGCAGTTTTAAGCTAAGAAACTTGGTTGTCAACCAACATTTCAAAGTAAGAGCAGCATCTTCTCTTGTTCATCACGTTGTTCCTAAGCCCACATTGACCAAAAAGAATGTGTTTGAGTAAATAAAGAAAGAGTATCACAGCTGGCAGACAAATGTTATATTATGGTCCTGATTATATGACTGTAAATAGACAACAGTTTCAAAATCTGAGTTTAATCAAATAGTAAAAGAAGCAAGCTGGAATTACGTACGTAATTAATGTATGTGAAACTGTGAAAAATTCTCATGTGGATGAAATAATACAGGTACATGGGAGTGGGTGATTTAATATAAATTTGCACTTAAGACCTTGTGGTAACAAATGAAGGTAGCAATTAGATTAACTCATTATGTGATAACTGTGCTGTGAAAAAAATTAAAAATCTATCTTATTGATATTGCTCTACTGTGCAAGTCAGCTAGAAGAGACTGTTATCATTTTAAATAAAAAATACTAGCATTGCTAGTGTGAGAAGAGATTCAGCACTATTTATGACTCTTCAGATTTAGACACAAAATTATTGCTTACTTTTAGTTTCTATGACTCCTACAAGCATTAAGCTTGATTGAACCTCATATTACAGTACTGACAAATGAATCAACAGGCAAAAATATGTTGATGTGAATCAAAATTACTGTATATAAGACAATATTTTGCTTTCACATTTAGTCTAGCATTCAGAAATAACACTTGCTTTAATTTGGAAACGGTTTACAGTACCAAAACATGTACGATAACCTTGAAAATAACTGTGGAATACATTCAGTCACACACCAAACATTTATTACTCATTGACTATAATAATATTCCATACTTACAGTGGATGCCTGACAAATATCACAGGTCAGGGTATTCTGGTCCTATTGCCACCAAAAGTACAATTTTCAAAATATTTAATTGCTTATGACTACATAAAGCATATGAACATATTTGTACAAAAATTTGGAATAATGCCCAAAACCCATGATACCCAACAGAACGTTATTAGAGGTAACAAGAGAGTTCAACTGGGGAGTTGTTAAAAAGTCAGCATATAGTATCATTACACTGTCTATATTCTGTAATAACTATCATAATAGGGAGGATACGCTACCATACATAATAGATCTAAACATAAAATACATCCTGGGATAAATTCAATAAGGCATGTGCAAATTTTTTCTGAAAAAAAGTATAAAGCATTATTAAGGGATATGAAAGACAAATAAATGGAGAAATATTCCTAGTTCATGAACAGGAAAATGCCATGTTATTAAAATGGCAATTCTCTAAATTAAGTTAAATCATTTTTTATTTCTAAAATAATACATTGAAGTCTTTATTGCTGTTGCATAATATAGTCGTGTATATATAAATTCATAAAGATGTGAGAACAGCAAAAATTTGAACAAAAAAGAACATGAAAGCTAAATGTTACACTGGCAAATGTAAAAAGGCATAATGAAGATAAGTACTTGTAAACAATATAACACTGTCTAAAATAGAAAAAGATATATTAATACAGCAGAATATAAATCCTTTTAACAATACCCAGGTGTATCTGTTTAATATATTATGAAAGTGGCACTGTAATTAATAAAGAAAGGACAGATTACACAAGAAAATATTTCTGAAAATTTGGAAAAACAAATATCTTGCCTCTTTTATGTATATTTCAGATGGTTTAAAAGTTTAAAGAATAAAATACAAATAAAAATTTCTTCTCATTGTAAACAAACATTTACTTGATATTTAGGTTCGGTTATAAACTTACCGGAAAAATCAAGAAGTTATTTTAATGTGTTATGTGTTAGCATAAATAACTAAAATATGTATAAATCTAGAAATATAATGAAATTCAACTGAAATGAAAAAATTACAAAAGTAATAGTTACATAAACGGTTTACACATATAAATAGTTCTTATAAAAGTAAAACTGACAAATATTTCTAGTTTTGAAAAATGTTTTTTAATTTAAAAAGAATAGAAAGCTATACACCAAGTAATTAAACAGTAGCTATTTTTCTCTTTCTTATAACATCTCTCTGATTCTCTGCAGCCAGGGAAGTTTCTCCACTTTTAAATATTTGTATGATTAGATTACATGGTGGATAACTATATATTTTTTTGTTGCTGCCCTAAGAAATGACTACAGATTTCATGGCATAAAACAGCATAGATTAGTTATCTGACCATTCTGGAGGTGCGGAGCCTGAAATCAAAGGTGTCAGCAGGGTTACCTTCCTGTTCAGGGCTCTATGGAAAATTCTGTTTCTTCACCTTTTCCAGCTTCTAAAGACCATCTACCTTCCTGGGTCTCGGGAACATGAAGGAAATCTTCAAAGGCAGCATCTTATGATCTTCAAATCTTTCTCTAACCTTGACTTCTCTTCCACATGTTTCTCCCAGTTTAAATGATGCCTGTTATTCTATTGAGCCCATCCTGATAATTCAGCACTATCTATCTCAAGGTCCTTAATTTTAATCACACCTTTAAAGTCGTTTCTGCCATCTAAGGTAATATACGCAGAGGCCTCTAGGATTACGTCATGAACATCTTTCGTGGAAGGGCATTATTCTGCCTTTCACAATTTCTTGAGTTTGTTAGTGTGTTTAAGGGTGATTTTAAATTTATTTTTGTACTTCTCTGTCTTTCCATTTTATCAAAAGAAAACACAGTATTACATGGATAAAAAAGAAAAAAAAAGAAGACAGAAATAAATTTAAATGAAAAGATTGCCTAGATTGAATGTTCAGAGATTTACGTTCTTAATGTTACTTACCTCTTCTGGTAACTCATTGTATTTCTGTGGACAAGTCACTTCAAAGCTCTTCTATTTAATTTCTTAATGTGAAATTAGGAAATTTGAACTTTAAGGACTTACAACTTTCAGCTGAGGACTAAAACCTTGGACTAGGATTCAATGCCTTTATGTGATTGTTCTGACTGCAATGGCAGTGTAGGCAAAAAAGCAAGCTAATGATCTCCAACAGAACGCTAAAGGGACATTTAAAGTTGTTGCTAAGTCTGTTGGGTGTTATTTGGAATGCTTTCTCCATGTTTTCCATGTTCACTTGCATTGTGGATAATCAAAATCCACACATAGTACAAAATTAATTTACTCAGATGACACTTACACAGCAACTACTTTATGTTAGACATGGTGTTAGGGGATTGCTTCTATGTCATAAGTAGCATGGATACAGCAAATGTACATGATTGAAAGATGAGCACTAGGATAAAATAGACATACTTCTGTCCCACAGAAAGCTTCAACGTTAGTCGAGCAGAAGGAATAATCACCTCTTTGAAGGCAGAGATTGTTTTATTGGGTTATTTAAGCCCATTTCCTACTAGCATTCTGCCTCCATTTCCTTTCTGGACCTCTTCTAGCATGGTTGATAGTTAACAGGAAGTCCTATGCTACTTTCTTGACTAGCTTTGGTCTTATATGACCAATGGTTCACTTAGCATATCCACTTGGATGTGTAAAAGGAAGCCATAACTCAACATTTCCAGAATACATTCATTCAGTCGTGATGTTTCTCTTCAATGTTAATCTTTCTGTATTTCTAACTTCAGTGAATTACACCATGATCAATCCTCTTATATAGCCAGAACCCTATGAGTCATTCTTGATATTTAATCTCCCTTAGCCATTCAATTAGTCAGGGTACCAGCTGGAAACAGATGGCACTCATATTTAAAATGATTCTAAAACATATTAATTATGGGAGTCTTTATGAGGGCTGGACAGGGTGCAGTACCACCATGAGCAACAAGACAGTATTGTGGGCTCTTTATGACCTCTACCACAAAAAAGTCTCTGGAATCCATATGGACAGTCTTGCAGACCTGCTGTCTTGAGAGGAGCAGTAATTTTGGTTGAGAATGCAGCCTTCCAATGTGACCCTGAAGGGCAGTAACCAGAGGAATAAATAGCCATACCCGATTATCTTAAATCCTCAGTTTTCCTATTGATGCTTTCTATTAACTGGACCCAGTCAAAAACAAAAGACAAGACAGTCATTGATGTGATCTGCACAGGTCAGCCTGTCACGGATGAGGGGAGGGTAGAGAAGACAGGGAAGTGGATCCCAGCGAGCAAACGGAACAAGCGTGGGGCTGGGTATCTTCTCTGTACCACCAGAGCTTGCAAATATCTGTATTCAACCCACAAACCTCCTCCTATCTTCCTGAATACAACCACCATCCTAGTACAACTATTATAATGTAATTTTTGATTTTTAAAGTTGTTTCCTAATTAGTCTCTTATTATTCTGATCCCTCCAGCTAGACTAGAATGAACTTTTCACAATGCGTGTATAATCATGCTCCTCCCTATTTTAAAGACACCAATATTTTCTTATTAGCATTAGAATAAAGACCAGAATCTTTAACGTGTCTCTTCCTTGGAACACTCTCTTATTACTTCATTACCTATCGAACTCCTCATTTTCCAGCAGATCTTTGTTTAATTCTCATTTTCTCTTTGAAGCTGTCCTGCTTTTTGTGACAAATTCCCTTGTTATTGATATTCATAGCATGATCTACTTCTATATATAACATTTGTTATTCTTGTACTATGACAGGCATTTAAAAGATTCTTGGTTTCTCCAATAGATACTAAAGCTGTAATTATGTTTCTATTTGGCCTAATTTGTATCTTCTGTGTCTGGTAGAGATCCTGGCATATAGTATAGATAGAACAAATTTCTCTTGAATGGATGAATGTATTAAATAACACCTTATTTGCCCCCCAACAATATATATTATGGATGTAGTTCACATCTGCGAGATACCTGCATAAAAGTTGTGAGATTTTGACAAAAGTACCCCAAATATCTTATCCTTCCCTCACTTATTTTTCAAAGGCCCAAGCTGGATGTTTTGCTAACATGAGTAAACAGGGTTGATTTAGATTGGACTGGGAAGAATGGAACATAAGATTAATAAGTAGGACATGATGCAAAAACAGAGCCCCGAAAGATGAAAAGCTAGTCTTGGGGTGTGTATTAAGTTCCTATTGTGGCTGTAACGAATTACCACAAATTTGGTGGGCTAAGTCAATACAAGGGTCTTATCTTAGAGATCCAAAGTCCACAGTGCGTCTCACAGAGCTAAAATCAAAGTGTTGCCGGGGCTGTATTCCCTTCTGGAGCTTCCAGGAAATAATCAATTCCCTTGTCCTTTCGAGATCCTGGAGACTGATTACATTGCTTGACTCATGACCTCCTTCCATCTTCAAGGCCAGCAATAGCATCATTCTGATCTCTGCTTCTGTGGTTACATCTCCTTTTCTGATTTCAAGTCACCCATATCACTTTCAGTCATATAGGAAACCAAATACAAGAAATTTTGTCTTTATAATCCAGGATAATCTTTTCACTTAATTACTTTTGTAAATTCCCTTTTGCCATATAAATTAACGTAGGTCCCTAGAATTAGGATGTGGACATCCTTGGTGGGTCATTTTTCATGCTTACCACCTGGAAAATCTTAGGTGGTTTCAGAAATAATTTGGAGATCAGTTAAAATGTTTGAGAAATATATGAAGACTAAGTGAAGGCCATGATATATTACCCAGATCCCCATTCGGGAATGAGGAGCTTGTATTCTCAGCTGCAGCTGATGTTGCAGACAGGGAGTTCCCACCTGTAAACTCTCCTCAATAATTGATTTGCCCAATCCAATGACTAGTTCATGTGGAGATACAGAATCCAGACCCTCTTGTTCCAACTTGACACAGATCTAAAGGGTCATCGCATCTTCAGAACTCCCAAGGAATCATATGAGTCTTGCTGAGAATATGTTGCTGCCCAATCTTCTTTCCCAGGAACTGAAACTGTAGCATTAACAAAACAAAACAAAACAACAATGAAAAAACATAGATTGCAATTTCTGGGGACTTTTGTTTGTTTGTTTGTTTTGCTTTGTTTTGAATTTTTACCTGTAGTGTTGGTGTTTATTCTACCAACATCTCTCACCATTTGGATGGTGTTTTATTATTATCTCAGTTGACTATAAACTACATTTTACTGCTTGAACTTATTTAAAAATTTTAGTTTGTATATTTGTAGAGCCTGCAACACGTTCACCGAAGTATCTGATAAGACATAAATAAAATATTATGCCTATGTATATACACACAAACATAATGCAGAAGGAGAGAAAAGGGAGAGACAGAGAGCAAAAGATGAGTCACATCTATAGCCAAAAAGTATCTATGTCTGTGCTGGGAAGTTTGGAGAATAAGAACGAGAGGAGAGAAATCACTTTTTAAAAAAGAGAGAAAACTACTAGTCACAATAGAATGTTGTTTAATATTCTAGTGGCTTCTCATTGTCATTAGAGTTAAAATATAATTAGTTTTCCTTATGGCTGTGAATACTTCATAACATTCAGTCTCCGCCTATCTCTCACATAATATTTTGTAAAGTTCCAGCGCATGTTCATGAATACCCCTGCTCTCCTTCCATACCCTCAAACACACCAAGCATGTTGTCACCCCAAGGCCTTTGCACATGCACTTTCCTCTTCTGGGAACACTGCCCTCTCTCTTCCCCCAATCTCAGTCGTGGTTTGGGCTATCCTCTATTTGTCATGAGGGTCTTAACTCAACTGTCACCTTCTCAGTGAAATCTTCCCTGACTATGTAATCTCAGACATGAACACATCACTCAGTTTTATTTTTTATATATCATTTACCATTGTCTAAAATTGTCCTACTACTACTTTCTTGCTTGCCTCTTCAAAATGCATTTAAGATATTTTGCTCACCTCCAAGAAACTGGAGCCTAACCACCTGTTTGGCACATAGTGCTTAACTCATGTTTGTTGAATGACAGAAGACAAAACTACGTCTCTTTTTCAACTTTACCTTTTGCATTCAGAAATGTGTAAACATCTTGCACAACTGATAAACTTTCCAGAGCTCCCATACAGATATCTCGCCACCTTGTTTCTGAGAGGGTTTCCTTCTTCTTCACTTCTGGTACAACGGTGATGCTGAAGAGTCTTCAGCCATGATATCTTCCACGGGATCCATTTTTGATAACTATATAGGACCCAAGTGATCCTAGAGCTGGTAATTCTCAAAGCAATTTATTATGCATTTCTTGTTTTATAAATTGAGATGAATACATCTGAAATGATAACAAATCATAGAGAAAGGGAAGACTGCATTAAGTCAAGGCAAATGGATCAGGAAGACAATGGTATGAGATCTTCAAAGCCAGGTATGGTTTTAATATGAATGTAAAAGGAAAGCACGTAAGAAGGAAGGAAAAAACAAAACAAAAACAAGACATATATATGTTTGGCAAAGTGAAGAGTATGGCCAGCAAAAGACATAAGCCTAATTACCATGGTATTCATTTAGTGGAGAAAATACACATAAAAATAAAAATCCATATAAGTATCAGTCAGATGACTGTGGGCCTGGGTATGTCTAGTTAGGACTCTCATCTCCTTGAATAATAGCTTTAATCATCTTTGTAACTTGTTGTAAATGTTCAGTGGCTCATTAATGCCTATTATATAGACTGTCGAGTGAAGTAGAGGATGGAGATGTGATGGAGACTTTGGAATTAGAGACTTCAATAATCTGTCACCAAATTTTATGCAAAGATCTGGAGAGAAGGTGATACCATCTCTTTCTTACTCTTTTTTCCTTACCTCTGACTTTTAATTGTTCTAATTAGTTGTTCTGACAAATATGTTTCTATTTTTCCTGTATATATTTATGGATATAATAAACAATTTGTTTAACTTTCTACTTAGCTATAAGTCAATAGTAAGTAGAAAAAGGAGAAGCAATTTTCTTAAATATCCAAATATGGTATGATTAATTCCTTATTAATTTGAAAATCAAATATTTATTATGGCTTAGATGTTTTTCGCAGCCTGGTAAATATGGCTCAGAGTTCAAGATCAGTGTAAATATTAAAATGTCAATAAAGATAAATAGCCTATCCATCAGACTATACCTTAAACTGTATCATCAATAATAAAAGTCTGTATTTCTTTTGCAGTAGATTGGCCAAAGGAGAAGAGAAAGGCAACTGATTGAGAGGACTAAAAATCTTATGAAGAAGGTACTAAATGATGATTAAGGATGACATTTCTATTCAATCTGTTTAAACATCAACAACAATAATAAAACAAATACATAAGAAGCGCCAATACTGACAAGGGTGTAGTAAAATATGCTCTTATTTATCACTGTTGGTAGTAAAAGCATTGGCTAAAAATTGCAGTATTAATGAATAATTTTACATACAATTTGCTTTTGCCATTCTTCTGAGAAATACCTTGAATTTATTACAATAATTATGAAAAATGTAGAAAATGATGCAAGAATAATGATGATAATCATTGTGCTAGCTATAATAGTTAAAATAGAAAATATAGTAAAGATTTTATAATAATTGAATAAGTTGAATTATGGCCTTGGCATCTTAAAGATTATAAATGACCAATAAAAATATTTATAAATAATTTAAGTGATACAAAGAATTCTTATAAAATTGAGAAACTCATGATAGCTATTTAATAGTAAATTAGCACTGTTTCACGTGTCAAAATAAGAAAATGTACAATATAGCAAATAAAAATTATAAACCTAGTTTTATCAAACTTTTGTTTGGATATGAAGATTATTAAATGATTTTTTGTGCTTTCTTGCACTTGGCTTATTAATAACTTTGTGACAATTATATGAATATGTGTAATCTTGACAAAATTAAATGATATAATAATAATCATAGCCTTACAAGCAATTTACAAATTACAATTATGTATATAAAAATAATTAACATGTATGATAACTTTTATATATTTTTATTTAATCAGAAAATATCACTGGTTTATGATTTATAAATATTTTAAGTCTCTACCTTAGCACATCAATGGAAAAAATCATTCCATTCCATTCATTTACATTCATATGTAATACTAAATATATTTTTATTTTATCTTTTATTTTTTAATAATTTCATTTGAGTTTTTATAGAATAATTATAACTAATATATTAGTGGTTAGAAGGTGAAAAATATTATGAAAAATTCTTAGATGAAATTATTTTAAATAAATAATACCATCTTATATTTTCCTTTTAAAAATTAATTGTGTAAATAATATTTTCTGTTTCTCCTTTCAGTGGATCTGTAACACTTTTCTCTTTATCCCTGTTTAGAGAAAAGTATTTTCCATGGTGCAAAATTTTTAAAATAACATGTACTTGTATAAAACATTTTTAAATGAATAAAAGTATTTTTATTTCATTTGAGAATTCTTGAAGATAAAAGACACCGTGTTGCCATCAGAACCGTTATTATCTACAAAGACTGTATTGTTGAAATAGATTAAAAAGAATTCTTTGGGATCTCTTTTTTTAATATATGCTTAGGGGAAAAAGACTGCATGTATTGGAAATGTCTATTGTAGTTTAAAGAATGTTGACATCCTCTAAAGAAAGAAGAACCAAAAAGATCTGAGTCAGAATATTCAACTTGGTGTTCAATATTAGAACAGAAGACAAATACCTGATTCCACTTTTTTAAAGTCTTTAAGATGCATCTCTTCTTTTAAAAAATTTTATCTGGCAAAGGTCTGTATTTCATGGACGGGGGGAGAAAGGCAAAGTACAGTAGTACCCCCCTTATCCATGGAGGATGGGGTCCAAGACCCCCAGTGGATGACTGAAACTGAGGATTATACTGAACCATATAAATATAATTTCTTTGTTACTGAAACACCAGTTCTTTGGTCTAGGTTCTGGTGCTTGCAACACAAAAAGCCAATCACTGAGACAATGCATATTGCCAGGGAAGAAGGCTTTACTCAGCTGCTGCAGCCAAGGAGATGGGAGATCAGTCTCAAATCCAGCTCCTCAACTAGCTAAACTTGGGGAGTTACATAGCAGGAAAAAAATGTAACTATAGATGGGAAAATAGAAATTATGGAGAGGTAAGGAAGTGGAGGTGGTCAACAGGCAGCAGCTGGTCAGTTAGGCATTCATGATGGGTGAGAGGTCTGGTGTCCCACTGTTCAGATGTGGTGTTCTAGTAAGATTCGGGTGCTTGATACTTTCTGGGAGGACTGATGGTGGGTTTCTTGAGAAAGGAAATCAGTAAGACAAATGTAAGTTTCTCAAGTTTTAAGACTGGAATGGTCAATTTCTAGTTTTACTGCAAAGAAACCATAAATATCAATTTTATGAAACAATTGACTGGTTTCATTTTTAGATCACAGTTGATTGCAGGTAGCTGAAATCTCAGAAAGTAAAACCAAGGATAAGGAGAGACTATTGCACAGATTAAACTTACAAACAACACAGGGGAAAAAAAAAAAAGAAAGTGGTATAAATTAGTTTTGTGTTCCCCTTGTATAATTTACACTACCACAAAGCTTCAGTGAGATTCGTACCTTTGTCTTTTCACTCCTGGGGAACCTGGAACTGACATGAAGGATCTCTCTCCCTCTCTGTCTCTTTGAATACACAATTTGCATGCATCATTTTGTCAAATATGTGTGCTCAAACACAAAGGGTTCAAAGAACTGAAGATGTTCTGAAAAATCCCTGTAAGGAAACAAAACCAGAATTTACCCCGTTACAACCTTGTTACAGATTTGAAAGAGTATTTCTTGTTTCTCCTCATCAAATGAAGATAGTCCAGAGCTTGTGTTTCCATTTAGTAAAATCAAATACCATGCACAAAATCCCAAATCTAAATATAAATCTGTTTTTCACTTAAGCAAAAAGAGCAATATTGTATTTAACTATTAAAAACATTTTTAAAATATATAACACACTAGTGGTACCCACTTTTTAAAAAATGAAATGATTGCAAAACCAATAATGACCAGTAATAACATTTTAGGAGTTCCTCATTGCCAGTGGATGAGTGAAACTGAGGATTAGCTTCTTCCCAGAAAAAGAGAAAGAAGTCTGTGGGGATGGGGTTATGGGGCATGGATACTTATATACTTACAATAATTACATGACAGCAAAATGGGAATTCATTGACTTTCTCAGTATATTTGTAAATAGAAGTTTTATAAACTTTTGGTTTTGGTTGTATTTTTTTTTCTATCCATTAGAGGTTCTAAACAGAAAAACCTTTGAAAAATTAAATTTACCTGAGTTTAACTGAGTAGGAAACAAAAAGATTTATGAACATGATAGCCCTCAGGACAAAAAGCATGTCAGAGAGCTCTCCTTCACAAAGTTAGCGGGCAATATTTATAGCTGGAAAACAAAAGTGACATAGGAAAATGATTGGTTACCAGTTTGAAGTTTGCCTTATTAGGACATGTTTGGCAATTTGCAGTCTATGATTGGCTGAAAGCTTGACTGCTGTATTTGGCTGAGATTCAGATACTTGTTACAAGAATATGCTCTCAAGTTAGGTTGCAGCATGTTTACATTTTAAGTTAGGTTGCAGTTCACTACTATACAGAGGCAGCTTTGGGGCAAATTTAATTTAATAGAGGGTAACAAATCCATTGAAGTTGATGTCATGTGGAAAATCTAATCAATGACATATTTGAATCTAAAATTCAATTATCTTAAACCCAACTTCAGTGCTGCTCCACTGTTCCCAAAATTTACCATTCTCCTATTGTGTAGCTCTAAAAAAAAAAATAAGTATTAAAAATTACCACATAATACTGTCACAGATGAACTGAAATTATTTTAGACCTCAAATGCATGTCTCCATCCATTCTAAAGACTCAGTTATAAAAAAAACTTCTTAAAGAGCAACAGCAACAACAAAAACATATGTGTAGATACACAGAGCCTGAATTCAGGAAGACCAGTATAAAAGACTCATGCTTATTTGCTTTAGATTAGTACTATCCAGAGGAAAGGTAGAAGAAAACAAAGAAAATGTGTGCTTTTGAGATCATGTGATCTTCATTTAATTTAAAAGTGTAAAATTCCAAAAATCGAGAAAAACAATACTTTATGGTTCACAGAAACATATTAGAACATATATATTCAATGGTCAAGAAGGAAAGGAACTTTTAGAGATGTAATCCACATTTTGGCCATTAAGCCCCCATTGAGCATAATTGAAATATATTGAGTGCTCAAAATGGACAATGGCCTATGCTAATGTCATGGGTATTCTCTTATTTACTTCTCATAATAAACCTATGAGGCAGGTCTTTTTGTTTAGATGAAATAAGGTTCAGGAACAAACAACTAATGACAAACATGCAGTACGCAGCAAGACCAGGAGACTATGGAAACTCTCACAAGAAAATGCATTGCCCTCTTTGTTGTCAGGCAATTCCAACAAAAATGCACAATGACATGCCACTGTAATGCATATGAAAAAGTAAAAGTGGTTTCAGGAACACCTAATGTGAGGGTTGCATTTGTTTTGTGCAAAGTGTGAAGACCCAAATGTTTCTAATGATCAGTCTGGGTCTTCATAGAGTCCTCATTACAACAGAGGATGACTTTAAGACTTCAAATGAAAAAAGAAAGGAAATTTTCCTGTGGATCTTGGAATATCTGATTTTTACACTATGGACTATAAATGCTACATTTCCTCATTTTGCTTGGAGAATCTCTTAGCCTGATATCTATCTTCTGGCTCACACCAACCTTGCTGTGACTTAAAGGTTTTTAAGGTTTCTGCCTTTACCTAAATGCTTTCATCATTCTGACCTTGTTTTCTACTGATTTCAGCTTTGGTATTCCAGTGCTATTTTGTCTGTGCTTTATCCTAGGCAGCTGTATTTCCACCATCTCCAATTACCTTTTGTACTGAGTCAATGTGCAAAACATACAATAACACTGATGAGGGAAGAAAAGAAAAAAAATGGCTCTTTTTATTTCATTGATTTATTTTTATTGATGTTCCCACCGGGATAACAATTTTTGCCCAGGTTCAAGCACTTTGGAAACCCAACCCTAAGTTAACAAAAATTCGAGTAATCCAGGAGACCTCCATATTGGATCAGCTTTTGTTAATAGTAGTACTTCTTGATTCGGCTCTGAATCTGTAGTCTTGGTTTTAGCTCTGTCTATATGGTTTAGATCTTTGCCATTTCTTTCAGGATTTTTACCTTCTCCAGTATCATTGCTTTTTCTGACATGCTAAATTATTTCTACTTTGAAACTACACAGACCTTGGTTAATGACAT